TGTCTCCTTTGAGGTGAGTGTTTTATTAGTCTTAAACTCAGTGCTGCAGCAGGGGCTTAGGTGGGGAGTGGAATCTCTGCTCTGGAGTTCTCCTGCATTGTTAAGGGGCTAAATGGTGCTCAGAATAAAATGGGCATAGGTAGCTCCAGACTGGGCACTACTGTATTCAAGGTTAGGGTTACCCAAAAACGTCACCTTGGCATCAGAGAAACTTTACTCCCAAAGAAAGTAGCCATGCCAGGCCTCAGGATGAGAACCCAAGGGAGCCCCATGGGAAATAGTCTTAATTTAAAACCATGTACATGTAGACATCTGAGCATGTGCTGTGAACATGTATGCCTTTCCGCCCATAGTAAACTGGTGGAAACCACACCACAGGCTTCTGTGTACATTTTGTGCAGGGTATTCACACACTCATTTCTGAGGCTACTAACAAAAGTTACAGTGCATGACTCCAGAGTTACATAACACAGACTTTCTTTTCCATTCTTATCCAACAGTATCAAGGGATTGCCTATTGTGACCCCTTGGCACAACTCAGGAAAAGAAATGAACCCAAGTGACTTGGTTCTGACACCCACATATTCCTCACAGAACACCAAGACATCAGTGCACTCCAAAAACACCCATTGTCAGTGGGAGCCCACCAGTATCCCTAGATGCTCCACCATCATTCCAGGTACTATATGTAAGGTAGTATGTTCTATGTCATGCCATGTTACATATCCTGACTCCATTACTGTTCTGCAATATATTTTTTCCACACACTGCTGCTCTATATCATGTGACTAAATCTTGCCCCATGACATATGCCACACTGAGGCAAGGGCATGTGGCACACAGGGTGAACTTGGTTGTTCTGGAATCTGCCCCTGGGATATTGCACATTGATCATTATATCAGGCTCTCTGAGCTGGTATTGCCTTCCTGCAGGTAGCTATCAGTTTCTTCCTGCTCAGTGGACATTACTCAGCCAATGTTGTTACCAGGCAACTCTAGCTGGTTTTATGTCTTGAGGTTCCATTGTTTCCCTTGTACCAAGTTCTGTTTTCTAGAGACCCAGAAAACAAAACTGCCACACAAACTTAGGGCACACAGGAAGCCTGAATAGATGAAACTTTGTCAGCATCAAGAGACTTCAGTCAAGCACCTAGAACTTGAGATGCAGAAATCTTAGGCCAACCTGATTTGCCCCTAGCCACATTCTTGCATGCCTACGTACCACCTTGTCAAGGCCCTCCGATAAGAGCACCACACACCCCCAGACTACCAATCTAGGTAGTTTCTGATAATGGCGATAATGTCAACCCTGGCTATTCTAGAATTTTCTCTCAGGTATATCTTTTTGATGAAAAGGGTACCTATAATCAAACTCTAATAATATTTTGGAGATAAAAAAATACCTAAAATCCCACCAGGACAAGTGGCAGAAGAAGGGAACAGGTAAGCAATGGAGCTACCACAACAATGGGAAAGCTGCCATAAGGCAGGGACCAACCCATCTCTGTGATGGCCAGCTATCTCTGTGCTGCTCAAGGGCTGAGCATGCAGGCCAAATGGTAACAGAAAATCCCTGCCAATGATACCAGACCAGACTCAAGGAGTTGTGTTGGGGTCACTGCATGACAGTTTGGGACCTGGTAAGGCAGTGCAGCCCACACATCCATAGGAGTGGTACCAGTCTGAACTCAGGCTCATCTCCATTTCTTTAGTGAAAAGGGTTAGGGTCAGTAGACAGTCCAGCCTCAGAAATGTCTTCCTTTCTCCTGAGAGACATAACATGGCCTATTGCCAGCTCATAGCAAGCCCCAAGCCAGGTGTGGCCCAGCAGGGCAGCTCCTCTGTATCTGACCAGGACCAGAAACAGATACATTCCTGGAGGGTCTGACCCTTTGCAAAACTGTCTGAAGGAGCCCTAGATAATTTACCACTAACCTCTGACCCTGAAAGTTAACTCTACCTAGGAAGTCCAACAGCACTACCAACTAGACACTTGGACCAACTATGCCGTCCTAGCAGAAGAACATGTGGAACAGAGTCTGTCTGGTACTAGTGACTGCAGGTCCAGTATTTTGTGTACAGGTTTTGGTCTATCTGTGGATTGTCTGCACTGTTTGTGGTGAAAGTACCTGCTTTGTATGGACACTTGAGGGCATTCCTATACATTGTGCACCATCCTGCATATTCAAGTTCAGGAACTTCAGAGTCAGTAATGTAGATGCAGATTGCAATCCACCTATGTCTACTTTGTGCTTCGAGCATGCATACACTTCCTGGTGTCCACTGAGGATTGAGCCTACAACTGTAAACCTATAGCTCTGTACTCTGGGAGGGAAGAGGATGCGTGGCATGTAAGCAGGCAGACAGCCTAAGGGATGGACTAAGACTTTGTTCAAAGTACCTCCTCTAATCACATCTGTGGTCTCACACATTTCTCTTCCAAGAGATTCTACCACATCTGGGCTTAGTAAACAGATTATTGATGGAGAAATGAATAAAGGGACTCTAAGAGGAGGCAATCTAAATTGACAGGCAAGCCTTCACGGGACAGAAGGGTCTGCGACCAGACCAAGCCCCTCCTATATATCTCAGGTCACAACCACTAGAGTTATTTATGACTCTCCTCCCCCTCCTGCAGTGGCACTCTAGTCTCAGCCTGAAGCAGAGGGCCCCCAAACAGGGGGCCCAGGAGCAGCGACCAGGCCATGCCAAAGCCAGAGGGTGGAGCTTCCTGAGTGGAGGAGGGGCTGAAGTATAGGTGTAGGCAGCCTGGATGATTCTAGTGCAAAAACGATTTCCCTCTAGCCTCTGCTCCAGTCTAAGAAATACAGAGAACGGTGTGGCCAAGGAGTTTCAGCCTAGGATACAGGTATAACAGGTATAATATCCCCAGAGAGGAAGCCTGATCTCTGGACAATGATCTTCATCTCAGGAAAAGGAATAATTGTAATGAGACTTCCTTGCCAAGCCCTGGAATGGCACAATGGACAAAGGGAAGGGTCTTCCAGCCTTGGACCTAAACCAGGGTCTTTCTTTGGCAGCCCTCTGCTCTTCCTGATCTGAAGCCCTTGACTTCTTCTGAATGGTTTCTATGTATAAGTATGATAAGAGATGGTAAGCAGGGCTAGAAGCGACGCATGGGCAAACACACACACACAGTAGTGGCCTTCTCAGATACAAGCCCGTGCTTCCCAATTCCACAGAAGGTCTTGAAGCCAAAAGCTCTGCACACAGATGCAGATTAACATGAGAAACCCTAGGTTGAGGGAACATCTTTGGAGGCAAGATTGGGGCTATGCTCAGGCAGTGAACACATGAGGTCCAACCCTTGACCTTAATCAGAAGCCCCAGTGTTCTCTCCATGTGTGCCACAACTACTCACCAACATGATGGCCTCTTCAAGGTAAAGAATTACAGCCAGCACCTATATGCATTAGACATGGAGGCATCATACCTTAGACAAGACACAGGCCATAGAGAGAGAGAGAGAAGAAGGACTATTGTCTGTCAGGGATATACTAGTGTCCAGGATCTGGGCAAGGTAATGGAGCCAATGTTGGTGAAGAAACAAGTGGTCACCTACTTCCATCTATCTCCTTAGGCACCGACAGTCCATTATATGGAGAATAGTATTATTAAAGAGAGTGCAAAGGCTGGGTGGTGGTGGTGCATGCTTTTAACCACAGACCTCAGGAGGCAGAGGCAGGCAGATCTCTGTGAGTTTGAGGCCAGCCTGGTCTACAGAGCGAGTTCTAGGACAGCCAGTGTTACACACAGAGAAACCCTGTCTTGAAAAAAAAAAAAAAAGAAAAAGAAAAAGAAAGAAAAAAACTAAAGAGTGCAAGGGCTATCCAGACTCCTAGCACATTCCTCACACAAGCAGAACATGTGCAGAGCTCACTTTCCAAGTCAACCTGGGAAGGGATCATGGACGAAGTGGGCCATACCAGCTAGTGCTGGGTCACTAGGGGAGGTGGGAAGAGGCAGCTTCCTCACTCCTAGGCCCTATCTTGAAGAAGGAAGGTTATTTGTACAGAAAAACTTGTGACCCAGCTCAACCCCCCAGGACAAAGTCAGAGAATGCCAGGTGCATTTCAGAAAACTGGGGAGCCCGGAATGGCCCACTTTCTAGTGTACCCAACATGTCACGCAACAGATACGCCCCTCTCACAAGCTAATACCAAAGTCACAAGATATCTCAGTTTCTCTTCACTCTGATCTTGATTCCATACAAACAGGAAGGAGGGGGTTGGAAACCAGACATGAAGCTAATCTGCTCCCTCCAGGGTATCAAGGTGAACAGATGTGACAGGTCCCTCTCTTGGGGATAGACATGTGCTGGTGTGCACATTTGTTAAGCCAACTGTCACCATCCCCTTCTCCCACCCTGATTCTATGAATGCCTCCTTGTTCCATTCCATGGCTCTGACTCTTCTTGCCCTGGGAGTAGGCATCATAGCAAAAACAGCTGTGTGTCATTCAAAAACTGCTTAACCTGTCTCAGGTTCTCATCTACAAAGTGAGAATATGCAATAAGTGATCCAATGTACCAACTCGGTGAGAAATGGGTAGTGAGAGAAAACTGACAGAGAACTGCTATTCTTACTTACACAGAACTCAAACACTCCACAATCCACAACCCAGCCCCTGCAGATACATAGAGGCCATCTGAGGGGAAGGAGAGCAGGCTCACACTCAAGGGGAAATGAGACCATACCAGCTCCATTTCAGCAGAAACCCACTCACCTATCCTGCAGATTACCCTACATTCCTTTAGACCACAGTTGCGGTCTTGCACTCAGCACTCACACCCCAGGGTCTCCCTTCATTTTCCCCACTGTGAAGAAGCCAGAGCTGTAGCCCTGTCCCGCGACCTCCGTGTCATCGGAGTCCAGTCGGCCTTCACGCACCCCCCACCGGAGCCCGCGCCCGCCCGCCGCGCCAGGGCGGTTTAAATGGGCCAAGTTGTGGCGGCGGCTGCGGCGACGGCGGCGGCGACGGAGGCGGCGGCGGCGGCGGCGGCGGGTCTTCCAAGTCCTCCAGCAAACGCGGTGTGCGGCGGGGCAGCTGGGGGGCGGGGAAAGGCGGGGCTGAGGCTAAGAATCCCAGGCTGGACTACGGACAGGCGACTCTGCAACTTCTCACTGCCGGGATCAGTCCAGCTCTGGTTAGTGTTGAGGAAAGGACTGGCCCTGGACAAGAATACAGTAAGACTTCTGCCGCGCTGCAGAGACCTAGGACCCAGGAGCTGCAGCCCAAGATCTTAGGCAGTTCCAGGAGCACCATGCCTCAGGCGATAGAGGCCCAGCTAACCATCCAGACAACTGTCCAGGGAGGCCCGGCGGTCAGCAAGAGGGCTGCATCTGCTGCGAACACTGAGGCACAATAGCCCGCCGAGTGAGTGCGTAGTCAGGCTCTATCCAGGACTTCCCGGCCCAAGACCCAACTCCAACCAAAATAAATCGCGCAGGCAACAAAAAGCCTTCATCTGAATGCCATGCCAGCAGTGAAAAAGGAGCTCCCGGGCCGCGAGGACCTGGCCCTGGCCCTGGCCACCTTCCACCCGACCCTGGCCACACTGCCGCTGCCACCACTGCCCGCCTACTTGGCGCCTCTGCCCGCTGCAGCAGCCTTGCCCCCGGCCGCCTCTCTGCCCGCCTCAGCTTCGGGCTACGAGGCGCTGCTGGGTCCTTCACTCCGCCCCCCGCGCGCTTACCTTAACCTGCACGAGGCCGCGCCTCATCTCTACTTGCCCCGAGACCCGCTGGCCTTCGAGCGCTTCTCAGCTACTGCAGCGGCGGCACCGGATTTCCAGCCGCTGCTAGACAACGGCGAGCCGTGTATCGAGGTGGAGTGCGGCGCCAACCGCGCGCTGCTCTACGTACGCAAACTCTGCCAGGGCAGTAAGGGCCCGTCCATCCGACACCGGGGCGAGTGGCTCACACCCAACGAGTTCCAGTTCGTCAGCGGCCGCGAGACCGCCAAGGACTGGAAGCGCAGCATCCGCCACAAAGGTGCGGTCACGGTGGGGGCTCGAGCCGCCGCTTGTCCCTCTTCTTCTGTGCCCCAGGTTCCTCATTCTGCCACCTGGGACACCTAGCATTAGCCCAGAGGGGGCGCTGTGGCTCCAGGGCTAGTGCTGGGGATACCCTTCTCTTTCCACCACCACCCCTCGCCAGCCCCTTCTGTCCACCCACCCACGCACGAGCGACTTAGTGGGCACAGCAAAGGTTTCTCAGCCTCCCTGATCTCTTCAGCCCAGGTCAAAGGGTTCTGGGTCTGCGAGCCGTGAAGGCAGGGCAAGTTTACGGGAACTCGGGAGAGGCCAGTGGGAGGGGAGCCTCTTCCCCACAGGCGCCCAGCCAGCGGTTCTTGACAGGAGTGGTGGGGTGCACTTGCGGCAAGGGTAGGAGTGCGCATTTAGTGGATGCTGTGTCAGCAGGTGGGGGCAGCGGAACCTGACAACGTTGACGATACTGCCGGCCAAAGCCTGTTTGGATACGATATGGAGGCTCCTGAGCCGGGTTCAATAAGCGCTAGCGCTGCGCCGGGAGTTAAAAAGTTAGAGACCTGAATGCGTTCGGTTTAGGGGGTCACGCCTCCCATTAGCTATCTCTTCCTGCGAGGAAGGGAATGCAGAAGCAGGCCTGATCCCCTTCTCACCTCTCACCTCATCTGCCTCTGTCATGAGTTCCCTTGGGACCGGTTTGGAAAGGGTGGAGCTCTAGAGGAGGGCAACGAGAATGGGGGGGGGGATAATCCCTTGGTCAGGCAGAGGCACTAGCTCGGAATTTGAGTTTTAGAAACCCCGCATTTCCCAAGCAGCTGCCACAAAGGTGAGAGAGAATTTCAGATGAGAAGTTGGGCACGGTGGGTTTAAGAGATCATTGTGAATTTCGTGCACAATTTCATGAATTTTTGCGGGGAAGAGGGAAATCTGGCCTTGCAGCTATGCCCCCTGAAAAGCATGCTAATGCTATATGCACCTGGCCTCTCCCTCACGTGTTCTGCTTGGTCTCCTGGCAGGGAAAAGCCTGAAGACGCTTATGTCCAAGGGGATCCTGCAAGTGCACCCCCCGATCTGCGATTGTCCAGGCTGTAGAATATCCTCGCCCGTGGTGAGATATGAGATAAGCTGGAGATTGTTGGGCAGAAGGGCTGGGTTTCAGCTTCGAAAGTGGTGGCTATGTTGTCTGGGAATGAACAACCTAACCTCAACCCTGCTGGTGTGCTAGAGGAACCTGAGAAAAGTAAATAGGTCAGTAGGTTCCTTGGCACCCTCCCAGACTGTAGCTGGGAAAGAAAAGGAATCCGGGTTGGATACAGGGTGAGCTGTTGTTTAAGAATTATTTTTGTTTTATGTGTGTGTCTGTTTCATGCATGCCTGATGCCTATGAAGCCAGAGAGACCCTGGAACTAGAATTGAGTATGGTATTAAGCCGCCATGTGAATACTTAGAACAAAACCCAGGTCCTTTGCAAGAGCAGCAATTGTTGTTGTGGTTTTGGTTTTGGTTTTGGTTCTGGTTTTGGTTTTTTGAGACAGGCTTTCTCTGTGTAACCACCTTGACTGTCCTGGAACTCACTCTATAGACCAGGCTGACCTCAAACTCACAGCAAGTGAGTTACCTCTTTCCAATTCTTCCATCATCGGAACTGTTGCTACTCAAATCGTGGGAATAATGCATAACCTTATTCCTGGATCATGTCATTCCTCTTGGCCTAGATCTGAAGGTCACCAAATTATCTGGAACACCTGGGAGTGATGCTGATTGTGGGATTGGGCTCATTCTGAGGCATGACAGTACTGACTTGCTTTGACTGTGATCTGGGATAGTCCCAGGCTTGAGGGTGAGCAACCTGTGTCTCTGGGGTGCTGAGTTGGAATCCTGCCTAGTATATGACTAAATGTCTGCGTGTCCTGATGGGATAGCCTAGTCAGAGCAGGCTGTATAAGCATCTAGTGAGCTAAAGTTGGGGACTGGTTACAGAATCCCACCAAAGGTAGACAATGTATCGAATACTTGAAGAACAAGAGAGATTAGGGATCAAGCATGCATGCCCTTATGCAAGAAGGGTTTGACAGATTCATTTGAAAAAAGAGATTACCTCAGGAGACGGAATAAGAGCACCTGGGGGAGAGCAATAAGTGTCTTGATGTTGAACTAGAGCTGTACCTGGCTTCACCCAGCATCCTGTCTGCCGGGGCAGAGTGAGGCAGAGAGATGCCACGATAGGACCCAATTGTCCACCTTAAATTTGTTTCATTTGGGCTCGTGGTGGAGCATCCTTATTGGTTCCTTATGGGCCCTGAGGGCCATGCTGGGAAACCACAAACTCATGCATTTGGGGCAGATGAACGGAACCACATGCAGAGCCTGCCAGATCTAATGCAGGCCAACATACGAGGTTCACAAAACATGTAGGTGAATACAGGCATCATTCCACCAATTGCTGGAACCAGAGGTCAAAGTCTGCAAGTAGCTGGTGGGAGAGGGGTCCTCATTAGATTTACAGAGTTCTATTTTCTGTTTGGATGGGAGGAGTCATGCTGCTTACAAACCAAAGCACGTTGAGCACCCCCACAAGCCTGGGGGACAAGTAGCCCCGGCCTCTCTCACTTCAAGTGGGAAATCTGCAGCTCAGAAAGGAATGGGCCTGCTGTTTATCTAGACCTCCCAATCCCTACCATGGGTGGGAGACAACTCAGGGCTGAGGCCAACTTTCCTACTCCTGGTTCCTTTTTAGAAAGACTTCCCCACCTTTCCCACCGTACCCCACAATCAGGACCACAAATATGAATCAGTATCACAGATATTCCAGTACTTGAAAACAGTGTGCACATAAGTCAGAGGCCCTGAGTGATGGCACCCCTCCCACTGTATGAGCAGGCTAGCTCTTGGTTAGGTTTTCAGATGTTTTCAAATATGTTAAGCTGTAGGGCTGGCTGACATTTTCAGTACACAAAGGAAGCTATATTCTCAGTTCTTGGGTATTATCGGGACAGCCATATGGGTCCTTTGTACCATTTCTCATGGGTCATCCCCCAGGTACCACCCAAGACCCAACTCCTGGTACTCTTAGGGTGTGAAAGGTACAAGTAGGTCCCTGTGCCTGCTGTTTGTGTCATGGGGTTGAGGCTGGCAATAGCCAACTGGCTCTGGCTCTTTCCAAGTGACAATCTCATGGCCCCTGTGTCCCATTGTATGTAAGAAAGAAAAAAAACTTGTTTCTGTTATCGAGAGACAAGCAAGCGCTCATAGAAATGATTCCCCAAGCCTGTGGGATGACAGAGGCCTGGGACACAAGCCCTGTAGGTATAACATCTGTAGAATAAATCCCAAGTATAAGAAAGGGCTTTACCCTTTCAGCCTAACCTTCACTCTACTGTCCCTAGAACAGTGAAGGACAAAAGTCAAGTAGATCTTAAAGGGGACCATAGAAATAACCCTCTTGTCCTGGGGCCAGTCCTCAAACTGTAGTGATTCACACCATTGACTTGGTACTACATAGTCCTTATTACCTACTCTGGAAAGTAACCAAATGTAGGCCCCAGAAGACTCCTGATGGCATATACAGCAGAGACTATGGCTCCCAAAACCCAGAGTGGGACACTGTTCAGACTGCAGAGCACTTGCCTAGCATGCCCAGTATCTCAGAAATGGGGACTGTGGTGGAGAGAAAGAAATTAAAAAAAAAAAAAGACAGTTCATTGATGTTTCTGTTTGACAATGGATAGCGAGAATGGGGCTAGAACTCTGCCCTGTTCCAGTCCCATGAAATGAACTGGGGTTGAGAGGCATTCTCTAGGATGTGGAAGGTGGGACTTACCATGTAAGATGAGCCATCACTAAGGCTGTGCCTACAGAGAAGAACTGGACTGGAGCCTGTGGGTCCCACACTATCATCCTTGTGTGCTGGTCTATAGCAATGAGGCTTCTGCACCTTGGTCTGGACTCTGGAGGCTGACCTAACCTAACCCTCCTCTTCCCACCTTCTCAGAACCGGGGACGTTTGGCCGACAAGAGAACAGTCACTCTGCCCCCTACACATGCCCTAAAGAAAGAAAGAACCCCCAGTTTCTCAGCCAGTGACGGTGACAGTGATGGAAGTGGCCCAGCTTGTAGGCAGCAGCCAGGCCTGAAGCAGGAGGATGATCCACACGTCCATATCATGAAGAGAAGGTACTGATTCCACAGCCAGGCTAGGAGGTTACTGTGGGGGTGGGGGTAGGACAGCACAGTCAAGGTCTGCAAACACTGTGAGTATCAGGCACAGGCAGGAACCTTTTTTGACATCTCATCCAGGCACTTTGATTCTCTGCAGGGGTCACTTTTAGGAAATGGGTTGGTAGCAGTGAGACCCAGAAGCTTATACCAACCTGGGCTCATGATCTAAGTCTCCTTCAAGTGGCTGCTGTGAGGTTCTTCTTGTGTGATCTCACACCGAATGAAACAGCCCCGGCAACTAGAAATTTGATTTCAGTAGAATAAGCACCATGTATAGGAAGCCTCCGGACACTATATTCCCTCACCGACTATGCAGCCATGCTACTTTAGGTGCCCAAAGTGAAGTGAGGTCAGGACTGTTGTAAATCCAGAAGCTGACTCTGACCTGGCGAGTGGGAGCTGAAGCACATTTAACTTGGCATGGGGCATTGCCTCTTAGCCACTGCCTTAACTACTGGTACAACAGGATGCCAGAATCAGATTCATGTATATCCTTCTGCCCAAGAATATTCCCGGAGCCATGCTGACCCTCTATTTTTCCCTTTTCAGAGTCCACACCCACTGGGATGTGAATATCTCCTTCAGAGAAACATCCTGCAGGTAGGAGTCCAAGTCTGTGAGGCTCTACACACACATCACAGGCAGCAGGGAGTTTTATTGCTGTGCTTCCATTGGGCCCTGCTTATGCTATGCTGCCTGCCTCTTCTCCCTCTTCTGCCAATGGACCCGTCTTATTCATTTTCTGACCAATGTAAACCAATGTGAGCTGAGTATCCACCAGGTTTTCTATGACTTTTTGCACAACCCGGGTTGTGGCAAACTGGGTGGCAGGATCCCACCTTAACCAAGCACATCCCACATGCCAAGTAGCACAGGCAGAGGTTCTGAGAAGAGAGGTTCTAGAGTCTGCGTATATGCTGTCCCTGATGGGACTGTCCATTTGTATCTGCTCAGAGATGAGGCTGTAATATTCTCTGCTTAACCTCCCAGAAATGGACCAGGAGATGAGAATGGTGATATATGAGTGACGTCTTGAAGGATATATGAGAGTTCACTGGGGCAAAGGGATTCTGCAAAGTTGTGTTAGAATGAGATATGAGAGGCCAGTTTGGCCAGGTGGAGGCTAAAGATCTGGGCCTTGAATGCTGGACCTATTGGGTTTTATCTTCAAGAAAGAAGGCACAGAAAGCTTTTCACCAAGTAAGCATGTTTTGAAAGGATCCTTCTGGAGAAACCCTCGCCTATCAGGTCAGGGGTTTTCTTAGAAACACATAGATTCATAATATGGAAGCATGGTGGGGTCTGCAAATACAGATGTCGCAAGAAGATGAAAATGAAGTCACCATATAAGGAAGCTGGAGTGTTGGGAAGATCCAGTCTCCCAGTTTCTGAGGAGCAAGGAATAGGTCTGTGAGCATGCCCCGCTGTCTTACCCCAGGACCTACAGGGCATACATCAGGAAAAGCCCAACTGTGGGATGTGGCCTCAGGAAGAGACTAGCCTTCTGTGGCCAGGCTCCAGGCCAGTCACATTTGAATGTCTGTCCTGGCTACTTTCAGATGTATTATTATTTGTGTGATTGACAAAGCCTGCATCCTGGGGTTGAATTGCAATAAAAAAAATCTTTAAACTTATTTCTACCTAATTTTGAAGTTGTCAGCTCCACTGATCATTTGTATGAACCATCATGAACACTGATGACATTTCATGAGCTTTTTACTATACATGCTGCAGGATAGATTTATCAGCAAGACCGGTAGGGAAGCTGGTGTTTATGCCTCTCCTCCAGGAGGAGTTCTTACCTCCTGTGACCCTCCTCATATTCACAAGGCTTTAGTGAGGATGTGTCCATACAAGTTCGTCACAGTGTCAACAACTGCAGCCTGGTGCCCCTCAAGAAGTCCCTTAGTTCCAAGAGTCAGGATTCTATCAGAAGGGGGAAGAAGGCCAGGAGTACTGACAGCCTTCAACTTACCTACTGGTGGATCCAGTGTCTAGACAGGAAGGGTCACAGGTGGCCAAGACCAGCTGCTTGTGCTACCCCCACCTGGCCCTTTGTTTTGCCTTGTTGGCTTGCCTACTCATTCTTCTGTCTCTAGTTTCCTGTCTATGAATCCATCTCTGTGGTCACTCTCCACTTGTCTATTCACTTGTTTCCACTAATCCATCGCCCATCTGTCTTGGTCCTCTGACCACCTGTCTGCTTGGATCAAGCAAGAATCATAACTCACACAAATGCCTGTGAAGCCTTGAGCAGCATAGCCTCTGAACCCTCAGGGTCCCTAATCTGACAGGGAGGGGAACAAGTCTGGATTTCATGATAAGACCAAAGGAACAGGATGGAGACCCCAGAAGGTGTGCTAGACCAATCTTTTTCTCTTTCTGGCCTCCTCATGATCCTCCCCCTGCAGCATTCTGGCTCTACCATGACCATCCATCTCTTCATCCATGCCTCAACCTCCTGAGGTACTCCAGGGCTTGGTCCATAACATGTAGTCGAATGCAGTGGGAAGCAGAGGGTTAGTTGTGGCTTCAAGAACCTCATACCATGATGCCAAGAGCATAATTAATGCATTTCGGCCATGTATGCATGGAATTTTTCAGATATGCATAAAATCAGCATAATTTGTTCAGTGAATGACCAAGCTATAGGAACTGGTTTTCAGAACTGCATCATCTTTGAGAACACAGAACAAACTACCAAGGCAGAATGGGAGGTGGATGCTAAATTCAAGTCCTGTTCTGACCAGCTATCACTCCATGGAATCATGCTATCCAGTACCTAGTGACTCTGATATTGTCACCAGACTTTTCCAGATACAGGTCCAGGCAGGAGACCTCACTTTCCTTCTGTGGGCCAGGCTGTGCTCACAGAGAACAGACTTCTGCCCACTCCCTGGAGCTCCTAGAAACTGATTTACCTCCTAACTAGAAGGAAATCCCCATGGGGACAGCTGTTCCAGTCTGTGCCTAGTCAGCCCACAACACCCCCCTCATGCTGAGATAGCAATTCTCTCTGACACCCCCACACTGATGAGGATGCAGGGGATGAGCTTCATGCCAATTAATCCTATAACGTACTTACACCCCCACCTGCCCTCTGGGTCTGCGGTGCTGAGATGAGAAGAACACATCTGGGCCTCTAGGCTGGGGCCCTCTTGGGTGTCTGCTGATGAAACTGATCTGCTTAGGTGCCAGCCCTGGATTAGCCCAGCTACAGTCACCATGGTCAGGGGCTGGGAGCTATTTAATGAGGTTCAGAGTTGATTCCTAGGTCACTTTGTAGAGGCACTGCCAGGATCTGAGGCTGCTCTGTAACAGGTGAGCCATGGAGGGCTGAGCACTGGGCACCACAGCTCCTGCCCTGACTTTGGCTTCCTGTGTCTTCCTTCTCTACTGATGCTTACAGAACTCCAGGGTAAGGAATTCATACTTATATATCCTCTCCTCTATGGGGCTCTGTGGATGAGGACTCAGCTGACTCAGCAGGAAGGACAAACACAGTTAAATGCTGTTATACCGAGTCAAAAGGTCCTGTGTAGAAGTTCCGGACCTATCCACGCCTGGTGGTGGCTCTCTGCTAATGAGCATGAGTCTTGTCAACTATGGAGCTCTGGTCAGAACTTCAGTTTCCTTATTTAAAAGAACTAGGAACTAGGGAGTATGTTCCATATTCTTGCTGCCAGAGCTGGCGGTATATATGGCAGCTTACTCTCTCTTCAGGCTGCTCTCCAGGGCAAATCAGGACACACTTTTCTCTGCAAGAAGGATAGCTGAAGGGGTTGTCTTAGAACTGCAATTAGGTCTAAGTACCAGGTCCTGACTTCCCTTTGGTCTGCTTAGAGGGCATACACATGTGTGTTTTCAGTGGTCTCACACAGGGGTATGCAGCTGACTTTGCATACTTAGTGCATACTGTCCACAAGTCATGTACCCTCATACCGACAATGCCAAATTTCCAACTAATGAAGCAGCTCATAGCTTGGTCTGTCTTGCTCTTCTGCAGCCAGGACAGCGATCTCCCCACCCTTATATCCAGCGTACATCAAAGCCACCACCTTGTTATGCCTGAGCATCCAAGCCACTGTGACTTCCAGAGAGGCAACGTGGAGATTGGCCTTGGACCTGCAGGTGAGGAATCCAAGAGATCCCAATGGTAGAGTGGGGCTCTGGGGCCACAGCTATCCTGACTAGAGACTGTCCTCCCCAAGTCTCTAATCAGCAGCTCTAGGCCCTGAGCACTTTGGCTGGCAGCCAGAGGCCAGCAAGGGGGGGGAGGATGGGTTGTGAGACTGGCTTTCCCCTGGGGCTACATGTGATGGTAATTGTGTTAATCCCAGACAGCCAGGCAGACATGGCTACAGCAGAGACTGCTCCATTATTGCTTTTGGTGGAGTGGGTTTCGAGTGGCCAAGACCCACCAACCCTTCCTCAAAGGGGCAGATACCATATAAGCCTCTTCTAAGCTCAGAACTGCCCGCTGTAGAATGACTCGTGTGTCAGAAGAATGCTCACTTCTCCTACCCACAGAACATGTACAACCCGAGTTCTGCTTTCCAGGGTGCTGAACCTGAGCAAGGTGAGCAAAGAATGCTAGGGTTCCCAGAACCACCATGAAAACTCACTACTGGAAGCCACAGAAGTTCAGAGAGGCAACTGGCAGAGATCGTGGCCCTCCTCAGAAAAGCAGGCCATAAGGCTGCAGTGAGGGCACACCTGAGATTCAGGGGCTTTGAGGGACCTTTCTCTCCTGGGCTCCTAGGAAAGTGTCTGGTGTGGCTGTGGTGCTTGGAAAGACTGGGTGGGTGGGTGTGGTCCACCACAGTGGAGGTCTTTATCAAAGCCCCGAGTGCTTGAATGGCTTTGTGGGCTAGTAGGGGGCTGCTTCTGGAACAGCTGGGGACCTGATGGAGGCCCAGCCGGGTGGAAACAGCTGAGCAAGCGCCTTATAAAATCTAATTGCCCCATTGATTGGGTAAAGTCAAAGAAGTCTATAATGATTGTGATGTTCTGAGCTCACAGGTCCTCTCCTGTTCCTGCACATGGAGAGAGACCTCCTTGGGTGTGTGTGTGTGTGCATGTTTGTGGGTGTGTGCGTGCACATGCACACACTTCCTCCCAGCCAGGGCCATTATAATATTTGTTGTGGTGTCTGTGTCTGTGTAATATATATATATGTGTGTGTGTGTGTGTGTGTGTGTGTGTGTGTGATTTTACTCATCTGTCTGGCCACTCTTCCTTTTGCACTGCACGCAGGGGTTCATAGTGGCACAACTATGTGAGTGTGTATTGCTTCACTTAGGCATTCTCTTAGGTTCTTGTCCCTATTTCCTAGAGGCTTTCTTTCAGTCTCTATAGGGGTTCACTCTCCCACTGCCTCCTGGACAAGAGAGGACTATAGGGATTGCAGGAAGTTATATGTCTTTGTGCATCTTCCCATAGTTATACTGCTGTGTTAGCAGCACCCTGGTGTGCTGGGAGTGAATGTGACTTCATTAAGTCTGCCACGGGACTGGGTCTTATTTGAGATGCCTTTACTTCATGATCATCTCCACCAGGTTATTATCCAAACTTCAGGAATAGAAAGACACACACACACTCCTCTCTCTCTGTCTCTCTGAGCTTTGCAGGTAGACATTGTTAAAGTAGGGACAGAATGCTGTGAAAAGAGCCCTTGCCTGACCCTTAAGGGGATGTGTGGGTTAACATAAGAACAACATGACGAGCAAGGACCTCAGGACCGCAGGGGTACACCCACACACTGAGACAATGGGGATGGTCTATCGGGAACTCACCAAGGCCAGCTGGCCTGGGTCTGAAAAAGCCTGGGTTAAAACAGGTCTCACTGAACATAGTGGACAATGAGGACTACTGAGACCTCAAGAACAAAGGCAATGGGTTTTTGAACCTACTGCACGTATTGGCTTTGTGGGAGCCTAGGCAGTCTGGATGCTCACCTTACGAGACCTGGATGGAGGAGGGTGGTCCTTGGACTTCCCACAGGGCAGAGAACCCTGATTGCTCTTTGGGCTGATGAGGAGGGGGGACTTGATTGGGGGTGGGGAAGAGACAAATCTTTAATAAATTAAAAAAAATAAAATGAAAAAAATAAGAACAACATGTACAGAGTGAGTGAGACTAGGCCACACAGACCTAAGTGACCCTCCTCCCTGCCTAGATCAGCTGCTGCCTCCCCTGCCCACTGGTCTCTGATACATTATTGGTGGCCCCAAGTGCAGCCAGATACCCTTCATCTGCCTGCTGGATCCATCTGTCTTGAGAGATTATGGATGGAACTCTTGTCTAAACAATGGGTGCTGTCCCTCTCTTTGAGGAAGAGCCTGAGATGGCCAGCTAGACCAGTGGCAGTGAGGTAGTTGAGATCAATAAGTTATTAGCACCATTCTGTCAGCCATAATGTAATGATTGATTGGCATTTTTTGCTGCCACACTTCCCCAGTTTGATAAGAATGACAGATTTAGGAAATTTTTAAAAGTGGAATTCAGCTCTGGTGCTAATGGTTAGAGCTTTGGGGAAGGGTGGGCACACTTGGAAACAGCACTTGCTGGGCATCATGGAGATTTTTGGATCACCCAAGGAATTGTTCCTCCACACTCCTCTAGCTGGTGAGGATAAGGAGGGCAAAGACAGCAACATTTAATCTGGAACCAAGATGGCTTGGGCTGTTCAGCAAATACCCTAGCCTTAGGGCAGGAGCTCAGGAGGAACCTGGGTAGTAGTGTTTAGAATGGTCTGGAATTGTGTCAACTACCGCCTGAGGTTTGGCAAGTTGGGTATGATCTCTGGATCCTACAGGGGATACTGGAAGCCGAGGCTGGGCCTAGCCTGGTGCAGACATAGCACATATAGGCTATGTACTATGGGGTGAGTTGTTCAGGAGTCCCTCAAGAGCCCAGAGCCTGGATGAGTAGGTGGGCACATACTGCCAAGGAGAGACAATGGCTTCCTTTCTGTGTCGTAAGTGTAGTAGAGAGGTTACTAGAGGAAGAAATGGAGTTTCTGGTGGCAGGGCTGGGAAGACCAAGAATAAAGTAGGCTGAGATTTAAAGCATGACTTCTGTACTTGCCTCCCCTACACCTGCACAGTATCCAACCCTATCCAAAGCAGCAAAGGCAAGCCACTCATTTCCCCCAAGGTGGGGCTGAGGAAGAACATGAACTTACAGGAGACTGCCTGGTGAAATATGGGTGTGAACTTCTCATTACTTCTATCTACATGCCCAGGGCAAGCATCAGAACTGCTTTGTGTCTTGGCTATGCTCCACATCCACCTGTCATGGTGTCCTCTGGCCTGTGATACCAGGTTGGGCAAGGTCTTAACTGCCAGGGAGAACGTGGTAGTGGTTGGGGCTCCAAGCTGAGCTAAGGTACAGGTGGCTTTCCCTCCAAGTCATGAGGCACTGGGTGGGGCTCACTCCATCCTCTACAGGTGAACTGTTGGGCAAGAGACTGGGCTGCTCCTCCTACATTACTAGTGACTGTTCTTCAGAGAAGAAGGTGCGAAGCAAGTCCCCACAAGGTGAGAGTCTAACTCCGGAAAAGGAGGCAGGTCATAGAAAGGGGAGGGTTCCTGCGTCCTGAAGGGTTTGCCAGACCTTGGGTAGAAACCAAGAGAGGAGGCCTTGACTTGCACTCACCATGTGCTCCTTTTAATAGAGACTCTGCTGCTTCCAGAGCTGGAGTCTACAATGGCCCCTGAGGACCACTATCATCGGCTCGTGTCAGCCCTGAGTGAGGCTGGCCCCTTTGAGGAAACTCAACGTCTCTACCACCTGGGTATCCCCAGCCATGGTATGTGCCACCACCACCCTCAGCATTCCCACCTCGAATATGCCAACCCTCCACTGTTCATCCCTGAGTGGGAGAGGAAGGCACAGGTGAGGGAGGGACATAGGAGAGATGTGGATTCTGTGGCATATGCTAGGTTCTCCTCCACTCCAAGTAGTCAGTGCAATACCATGAATCTGTGGTCAAACTGTCTCAAGGCTGCTGTTGTTGTGAGGCAGGCATGGCAGGAAGGAGGGAGTTGTCACAGGTGGGATATGGTCACTAGTGCTCAGATTGCTTGAAAGAAGCCAAGCCTGAGGCACTACTCCTGCTACCTAGAAATAGTAAGACACCCTATTCAGCTGCAACACCGGAGAATCTTTTCTGGCAGAAGTGGCTGGGGGCTCAGGGAAGGGAGCAGAATTTCCGATTCTTACAGAAGGTACTGTCCCCCAGGGCAACTCAGGCACCAAGAACCTAAATAATTCACTAAATGTTAATAATTTAAAAATCCTTCTTTTTAATTGCTTTCCCAGCTCTGCTGCTGGCCTGTGCAGGAGAGGGTGTACAGGCAAGCTGGTTGTCAATCACCACTGTACAGAGGATGGCTGGGGCGTGGATGGGGGGAGTGGCTTATTGGGCTCTGGAGCTGGCTTCAGGCCCGGTAATTTATAAACAGGTAGCAGGGGAGCAGCAGAGAAGTAGAGCTTGAACTAGGGGGACTAAATGGGCTAGGAGTGCCCCCACATTTAATAGTTGTCTACCATCATGGCCATGTGTACTATTATTGCTTAATGGAAGTGACAAGTTCTTCCTACCTATTCTTGCCTCCTGTCTATAAAAGAGTCACCTAGGCAGCCTTCTGTTTGAGGTCCCCTCTCAACTTTTCTCCCACTGACCTGGAACAGCCTTGTGTCCTTAAACTCTGACCTTTGCACAGCCCATCTTTGCGATAGAGGCTAGAGCAAATACTTAAAACACCAAGCTATCTAGCTCGGAGCTCTTCTCCCCCAGCTCATTTTGATTACTGACCAATCAGACCCCTTTTCAAGTTCACTTGCCCAGCTGCACCATATAGGTCCTGGAGCAAACTGAGTCCCTGCTGATCCTCCTCCAGCCCCAGTGACACAAAACAGAGCTCAGGACATGAGAGACTCCTCCTCCCGTTCTGTTCTAGGCTTCACTGGGTCAATGCCCCATAACCAAGGGGAACTCCTGGGGGAGCTTAGCATCTGAGTTACTGCTGTTGCCTCCCTTCCCAGATCTGCTAAGGGTTCGGCAAGAAGTGGCAGCAGCAACTTTGAGGAGTCCTAGCAGCTTGGAAGTACACCTACCCTCATCTGCAACAGGTCATCGTCGGAAGCAAGGCCTATTTCAGCACCGGGAGGGAACAGTTCCAGCTACTGCCCCGTCCTTCTCTGAAAGGTACGAAGGTGGTGTTTCAGCAAGGCCCCATAGTCTCTAGGCTGGTTAGTTGAGAAGGTCAAGGCCACATCCTGGACCTTAGCACACACGTGTGGGTACCGTGTTCAAGGTCCAGTGCAGGAGACTCCTAACACCAGCTGTTGTGAGCAAGAAAATATTTCTGGGGAAGAATATACAGAAAGGACCGTTCCAATTTCCTTGTTGAGCAATTGGGGACCAGCCTAGTAAAGGTGCCCTAGGATAGTGGTGATGTCTTGAGGAAGGCAGAGAGTAAACCATTTACTATCTGGAATTTGAAGAGCTAAGTGCAGAGGGGGGCTGGGATTACAACTCTAGAGACATCAGAGCTGTTCAAAGTACATACTACCTCCACAGCGGACTAGTGGAACCAAGGAGAGCTCTGGGCAGGAGCCCCAGGTTTCCTAAACACTCCCCACTCCACCCCACTGGCCACAGACCGCAGCATCTGCGGCTGCCTTCCGTCTCAGGACTGTGGCTAATTACCCCATCGTGTGCCCCTCCCCGCCTGCGCAGGACGGCTCAGGATGAGAGGTGCTTCCCCCACCCAGTAATTACCGCTGCAGCCGCCTCCGCCCACAGGGTCAGCGCCTCTGCGCCGCCGGGGAGATTAATTGGCGCCGCCAGCTTGGACGGGGGGCAGTGCACGACCCGAAGCCAAAACCAGGGACTCAACGACCGCCCGTGGGGTCGGCAATTAGAGGCGGCGGCAGGGGGTGCACCCGGAGGCGGTTACAGGAAAGGGGGAGGGTTGCACAGTCGGAACTGGGCCTGTGTTTACTGTTCTGCTGTCCACAGGGAGCTGTCACAGCCACCCCCTTTGCTGTCACCCCAGAATGCCTCCCACATCGCCCTGGGCTCCCATCTCCGACCACCATTTTTTGGGGTGCCCACAGCTCTGTGTCAGACCCCAGGTGAGAAAAAGGGGGATATTAAGCCCTTTGTGTCGTTATAGAACCCTCTTTAGGTGCAGAGGGTCCAGCAAGAATGGCCTGTTCTTTTTTTTCCCAGGTTACAGCTTCCTGCCCTCTGCCCAGACTGAGATTTTAGCACGGCAGCAGGATCTTCTACGGAAACAGAGCTTAGCTCGGTAAGAACCTTGAAGACCAGTGAGAGTCATTTTAAGCTTGCCCACGCTGACTCCTGCTGTCTGCCCTTTTGGTCCAGGCTGGAGATGTCGGAGTTGCTTAGGCAGAAAGAACTGGGCAGCTCTCACCGCCCACAACTACTGGCGCCAGAGGTGGCCTTGCATATCCCTGAGGGTCCAGATGAGCTCCAGCGACGTGGCTCCATGCTGGTTTTGAAACACAGCTCAGGACCACTACTGGCCCTGCCACCCCAGGGACCCCCAGGCCCAGGTCCCCCTACTCCAACCAAGGACTCTGCCCAAAACCAGCCTCAAAACGGGAGTCTTGGTGCTGCCTCAGCCCAGCTCAGTGAACCTAAGGAGAGGACAGGGGCTGGCCTCTGGGCTCAAGATGTCTCCGAGGAGCCATCCAAGGATACAGATGGAGAGGACCTTGAGACAGCAGCTGCCAGAGGCGAGGCCTCTACTCCCAGACAAGTCCCAGCAGGAGGGACCAGAGCAGAAGGAAAGAGGCCTCTCTCAGGGTCAACGATGCCCCCTCCACTGCCCCTGGGATTCCCCTGTGGGGCAGTCAGCCCCTACTTCCACACAGGTGGGCAACCCTAGCCACCCACTAATAGGGGGTACCACGGGGAGAAAAATCCTTTGTCACTGAAACAAGAGCTTTAAAAAATTAAGAGAAAGGTCAGGCCATGGGGGGATGCAAGGGAAAAGCCCAGGCCCTAGTAACATCCTTCCCATCTCCAGGCACCATGGGGGGACTCTACAATGATGAAACCACAGCCCCTGAGGACGTCAACAAATGGACTGTAGATGATGTCTGCAACTTCGTGGGGGGCCTGTCTGGCTGTGGCGAGTATGCCAGGGTGAGGGGAGCAGCAGGTCCCTGGGACTAGGCCAGGAGGCCCTGTCCCAAGCAATGTCCCATAAGCAACATGAAAGAACCAATCCTTTTGCTGAGTCATTTTTCATGCAAGACATACTCTATTCTGTGGGCTTTTCTTGTCCCCAGGTATTCAGAGAACAAGGAATAGATGGAGAGACTTTGCCTCTACTAACAGAAGAACACCTTCTGAACACTATGGGACTGAAGCTAGGGCCTGCCCTTAAGATCAGAGCACAAGTAAGTGTTCTCATCAATCTAGAGAGGGCGGAAGGGTTCTTTGTGACTGGAGATGGTCTCCCAGTCCCCTTTATCTGGCAGGTATTGACCCAGCTTCATCTCTTTGTAGGTAGCCAAGCGCCTGGGCCGTGTCTTCTACATGGCCAGTTTCCCTGTGGCCCTTCCGTTGCAGTCAACAAGCCTGCAAGTCCCTGAGCTCAGCCCAGGACAGCAACTCCTGTCCCCAGCAACCACCACATCTCCATATGAGGGGGCCCACCTGCCCACAGGCCGAGCCTCACCCAAGCAGGAGAATGGGTCAGGGACCACAGATCTGCTCCCAGGGGCTCCAGATCCTTCTCAGCTTCTCTAATGATCTAGCAGGCAACCATTATACACTCCCTGATGCCCATCCTCCAGGGTACTTTTTCTTTTGGTTTTAGATGCAAAAAACACCAAGAATATTTTAAAAGGAAAACGTGGCTTAAGAAGAAAGTAATGAATTTACAAAGACTTTCTAGGAGTAACTGTAGAGGTCTGCAGACAAACCAAAGACAGATAAAGTAGAGAGGCCATGGAGCCCCCCCCCCCCCCCCCCCCCCCCCCCCTTGAACTGGGACTACTCTGCTGGTCAGGGTCAGCCTCCTGCTGGGGCAACAGAAGGTTATGCAGAACCAGTTCCCTTCCAGGGTCTAAATGGCTTAGCACACTTGTTCTGTTGTGCTGTAACAATAAAGCCCTGTCTACTGCCCTCTGCTGCAAAATTGTTGGCCTCAAGCCTCCAAGACTTGTCAGGAGGCCCTCAGTCCTCTTCCGAAAGCTGAAGATCCTCCAGCTCATCCTGTGGTCCCTGAGCCAGCTGCCACAGTTCACTTGGGTCCACCCCTGTGTCCGGGTCTCCATCTACAGAGAAAGAAGAAGTATGTACATTCTGCTATATCATAAAGAAGCCAGCCTTAGCAATTACTTATTCATTACTAATTAAATTAATTAAATTAATCAGTGTGCTATAGCTTGCTGTCAGAGTCTTTTGAGTATAGAATAACTAGTACCCCACGGAGGGGCACAGACCTAGCTTAGGTCTTCTCAGGCTTCACTTCCAGACAGACTGTAGGGCCAGTCTGTTTCACAACAGAAACAACTTACCCTCTGAACTGCTGGCACCCACTTCTTCGTCATCTTCCTCCTGGTCTTCCTCTTCCACTCCTTGGTGAGCTCCCAGGAGCCCGGGTATTCCTGTAGATAAAGAACCATGTGCACACACACAACAGACACCCACTAGGGCCACAGGTCTCAGCAGCAGCAAGAGGACCACTAGCCCTTTCTGTCATCCATATGGAGGCCCCAGCATGTTGGCAATTACCAATAATGAATCCCCAGCTCAAACAGAAGGAAGGCACCAATGAGTGGTATAAGAAACAGGTGCAGATAGGACAGTGGTGGTGCACGCCTTGAATCCCAGCACTTGGGAGGCAGAGACAGGTAGATCTCTGTGAGTTCAATGCTAGTCTGGACTACAGCACGAGTTCCAGGATAGGCAAGACTACACAGAGAAACCCTGACTCAAATTCTATATGAGAGAGAGAGAGAGAGAGAGAGAGAGAGAGAGAGAGAGAGAGAGAGAGAGAGAGAGAGAGAGAGAGAGAGAGAGAGAGAGAGAGAGAGAGAGAGAGAGAGAGAGAGAGAGGAAAAAGAAACAGGTATGAAGGCTAGAGAGACAGCTCATTGGTTTAAAGACCTGGGTTTGACTCCCAGCACCCACATGGTGGCTCACAACTGTCTCTAACTCCAGTCCCAGAGGATCTAACACTCTCTTCTGACCTCCATGGGCACCAGGCACACATGTTATACACAGACATACATGTAAGCAAAACACACATAGACATAAAAATTTAAAACAAAACAAAATAACAAAAAACAGTGTGCCAGCCAGCCAGCCAGCCATGAAATACCTCTGCTGACACACAGCTCTTAAGGACTCCCACCTCAGGCCTTACCTCTCTGAGAGATGTCTGTGCTGTCCTCTCCCTCAGAACTGTCCAACTCAAACAGGTCTTTTAATTCCTTCCTATCTTCATCCTTCCTGTCTTCCACTCTCCGCCTCTTGATCTCTGGGAAGTTCAGGTCTTCTAGCTTCAAGGATCAGAAACAGAAAAACAGATTGGGGAGGGAGAAGCACAGAGAACTGAGCAGAGCTTAACTCACATCAGCCCCCCCCCCTCAGGTGCCACCCACAGCCAGGCTGCACTCAAACTCACTGTCCCAAACTTCACTCCTTCAGCCCAGACCCCTTTACAAGTAACCTGCCTGGCCACTTTCTACTAGGCCACCTTCCCAGATCCCAGCCATACCCGTTCTTTGCCACTGATCTCCAGCTGGATCTCACGGTCCCTCAGCTTCCTCCAGTGGCTGTAGTACCTGGTGAGAGGGGTCCCCTCTTCTCGGGCCTGCTTCTCCCAAGCATCCTAAGGATTGGATAAATTCAAGGCCATGCTCGTCCTCAAACATCTACCACACCCTAACTGGTGACCTCAGGCAGTCCAGATGCCAAGTCCCAACCCACCACTGCCAGCTGGTCAGAAACACTGAAGGTCACTCTCTGGCGAAGGCTTCGGATATGTTCTGCGTTCTCTTGCACCTTCTCCAGAAGCTGGCGCACCTGCCGGCAGTAGTTAGCTACTTTGCACTCCCGGAGAAAAGATTTCAGCTGCAGAAAGGAAGGGTGAAGTTCAGCTCCAGTGACAGGACTTCTCCCCACCCCACAGGGGGTCCAGACAGTGGAAAAGCCATGTGGCAATCACAAGGAGACTTGAGGGCCTACTGCCAATCTTCTAACTAGATCTCACAGGCATAAGGCCTTGCTCCTTTACTCATGTGCTCTTGCAGCAGCCTGAGAAGAGCTGTGAGAAGACAAAACCATAAACTGTTTTGCTATTTGGATCTTAACTGAAAAACATCTGCTGAACCCGACCATATACCTACGACCTTTAGCACAAAAGTACAGGTATCCTGACTACCTGACATCAGCAGCCAAGACGACATGGGGGAGGCCACTGCCACATTATACAACCAACAGTAACCAAGCACATGTATACAGCTGTACATGTAACTTCTGCCTTCACACATGTACCCGTGTCTATATGAGGTATAGCTCAGTATGAGCAGCAAACCCACCCCAACAAGCCCATGAGTAATAGAGCTAATCCCCTGCCAGCAACAGCTCCCTCCTATGAGAAATGCCTAAGATGGAAACAGCTGAGCAGAGAGCAAACAAGACTCTCATGAGGGGCACAGAAAGAGCTGAAAAGAGGGAGAACTACATTTTACCCCCAGACCAACCCAGGCTTTAGACTTCCACAGGTAGCCCTGGACCACGATAGGCTCCAGGCAGTCTGGGGGAGGGCCTATAAATTCTTGAGATCCTGGTTAAGTTACCCAGGTCTGGCCCAACTTTGTCAGTGGCTGATAATCCTTCACAAACAAGTTAACTCCACAGTCCCCAGAGAGAACCTCTTCAAACTACCAAGCCAAATGACCATTTTCCCCTGTAATGACCCTGATGGATCTGGCTGCCAGGCAGCTGGATAAGCATGATTTTGTTTCTGGTCTTGTAGAACTAGAACAAGGAAGCATCCCTTTTGTACTTCTATACAATGAAGACAAAGCTACTAAGAGATTGTCCAATTTAGCCACAAAGAGGATGCCAAGGCCAGGGAAGGGGGAGTCAGGTGTTGAGCACATACCTGTAGGACAGTGGGCAGCACCAACTCTGGGAAGGCAATGCAATGGGCCTGGCTGTGCAGATATTCCAGGATAAGGTCATATAGCTGTTCCAGAAGGCCATCCTGAGGGGGTGGCACAATCTCATCAGATGGTGGAACCCTGAAGTCCATGATCTTAGATTTCACCCTGCTCAATCTCTAAGATGGGAGCTATAAAACGGTACTCAGAGCCTTCCCAAGACACACCCAGATTCACAGGGCCTAGGATTACAGAACCATTGATCTATGACTACAGAAACCCCTCAATCCCCATTATTGAGAGGTGGATCTCTCTGAGTCCAAGGCCAGCCTAATCTATATAGTAAGTTCCAGGAAGACCAGGACTACCTAATAGATCCTGTCTCAAAAGAAATCACAAATGCTGCACAATGGTAACCCCTTCCTTGTACTTCAGTAGCTTCTAAAGTCCTTGTGAGCCAACTAAAAGAAAGCCTCAGGCCTTTCCCAGAAGTCCTTCAGCAAGCCTCACCCGGTATGCCTTCTCCTGCAGGTTGGTACTGGACAGTTTCAAGATCACAGAGAAGTTGATGGGCTTGGAGCTCATGCGGCCTGGACGCCTATTGAAGTCCACCTGCTGGAAAATCTACCCACAGGGTTTCAGTCCAACACAATGAAATCCCTCAAGACAAGGATGTACAACTAAAGACAGCCTCAAAGCCCACAGATGCCTCCAGACCCTATCCACTTTCCAGAGCCCTGAGCCTCTTGACAGGCAACCATACGACTCCTATGTACACTGAACCACCTTTGGAGGTAGTGGGTATACAGGCCTGGGCCTGAAGTAGCTGCATGCCAGGCACTGTGGGTACAACTAGCAACAAAGAGATACAGAGAGAGACAGGTCTCAGGGGAGGGACTGTGTATCCCACACCTCACTAGTCTTTGTAGGCTATGGACTTTGACCTTCCCAAGAAAGGAGGGTAGTGGGAACCTAGCATGGCCTCTTGAGCCAAAGATACCTCCCCAGTTACTAGGAGACCCCACACACAGAGCAGGTAAATCAAGAAGGCACAAGGTACATGAAAAAGCATACAGAGAGAAAGTTCTAAAGCCCCTGACAAGAGAACTCATACAGCAGAATGCTGCTGGCAGCTGAATCAGCTACGCATAATGACAACTGGGGGTGGGGAATGCCGGTTCTCTAATCTGAGCAAAAGGTGCTGACTAATATACAGGGCTCGTCTCGATACCCCCTTTTATCCTACCCACAAGGTAAAGAACGGACAGTGATACCCTGAGGGCAGAGAGCTTAATTTCAACCTTTGTGGTTCACTTTCTCAGGAAACCTGCATCTAGTGTGAAGAGCCCAAAGCCAGGTACAGTGAACCAAAGTAGAGGTCAGAATGAGGGCTATCCAAGAAAACAAGAAAGGCGTCATGTAAGTCTGAGACTCTGATGGACTAAATGCAGGTCTGCAATGACTGCCAAGGCAAAGGGGCCACAGGGTTACAGTCGAAATCTGTACTGGCACAACTGGCAGACACAGAGGAGAAATGGTTTCCAAGAAACATTTGTGAACCCAACCCAAGTCGTGCCTAGCACAGTCACCTCGAGAATGAAGGGCAGAACAGGGATAAAGGTGCCGATGGCCTGGGACAGCAGCGTCAGGGCACGCACACAATGCATGCGCAATGGATAGAAACGGG